GTTCATTAATTTATTGAGTTGAAACATCTTGATTTGTTCAGGTATACAGTATAACAAATCATATAATCCTTCATGGCTTAACATACAACTTAAACTCAAATATTTGTTGAATGAATAATGTCATGTACCTTTAAGATGAGCATTGATTTCCAACACTGATTTTGAGACCTGCCTTTTCTCCCTCATGAGTAATTACAAGACACAATTGTAACATGTTTAAGAGATAAATAAGATGGATAAACCTTTAACCAGACACATCAAGAAAAAAAGGAGAGGACCCAAGTAAAATCAGAAATGAAAGAAGAGAAATATAAAGGATTGTAAGAAAATACTATGAACACTATATACCAACAAATTTGACAACCTGAGCAAAATTTCTAGAAACATACAGTCTTTTAAAACTGAATCAGGAAGAATCAGAAAACCTGAATACACTGATTACAATTAATGAAATTGAAGTAGTAATAAAAAAAACTGTCAGCAAACAAAAGTCCTGGACTAGATGGCTTCATAGGTGAATTTTACCAAACATTCAAAGAACTTACACTTATCCTTCTCAAACTATTCCAAAAAATTCATGAGGAGTGAAGATTGCCAAGCTCTTTTTACGAGCGCAGCATAATTCTAATTCCAAAACCAGAAGAAGATACTACAAAGAAAGAAAATTAATGAGTGGCCAATATCCCTGATGAACATAGATGCTAAAATCCTCAACAGAGTATTAGCAAATGTGTGGATCCAGCACACATTAAAAAGATTATACATCGTGATCAAGTGGGATTTATTCTGGGGATGTAGAGTTGGTACAATATTGGCAAATCAGTACATGTGATACATTAGATAAACTATGAAAAATAGAAGTCACATGATTATATGAGTAGATGCAGAAGAAGCATAAAAACAAGCACCCATTTATGATAAAAACTCTCAGCACACTGGGAAAAGAGGGATCTTACCTCAACATAACAAAAGCCATATATGAAAATCCAACATCATACACAATGGGCAAAAACCAAAAGCATTTCCCTTAAGATGAGGAATAAGACGGGGATGTCTGCTTTCACCACTCTTACTCAACACTAGAGGCCTGGTGCATGAAATTCTTGTGTGTGGATATGGTCCCTAGGCCTGGCCTACGATTAGGGCTATCTTTTCCGGCTGCCTGCAGCTGTCTCCACCCTCTGCTACCACCCACCCCCAGTTCCCCGATCGGGTGATTGGTGCCTGATGGCTGGGGGAAGGGACTGAGAGGTCAGCTGTTCCTGCCATCTTGCCAGCCCCACCTCCACTATGGGTTACTCTGTGTGTGGGGGGTAACCAGCGGGGCGGGGGCCTTGGCCTGGAGCCGCCCGCATCCCTCACCACCCAACCCCGGTTCCCCGTTCGCCATCAGGTGATCGTAGCCTGCTGGCAGGGGAAAAGGACCTAGAGGTGGCCAGTGTGCCTCATAGTGACTGGTCCAGCGGTCATTCTGGTCATTCTGCCATTAGGGTCAATTTGCATATTACCCTTTTATTATATAGGATAGTACTGGAAGTCCTAGCCACACCATCAGACAAGAAGAAATAAAAGGCATCCAAATTGGAAAGGAGGAAGTAAAACTCATTATTCGCAGGTGACATGATATTGTACATTAGATAACCCAAAAGCCTTACATTTATTAGACTACTAAATCTAATAAATGAATTCTGCAAAGTAGCAGGATACAATGTTAATGTTAAAAAATTAGTGGCCTTTTAACACAGCAATAATGAACTAACCTAAAGAGAAATTAAGAAAGCAATCTCACTTAACAATTGCATTTTTTAAGTAAAGGTACCTAGGAATAAATTTAATCAAGGAGGTAAAAGACCTGTACTTGGAAAACTATATGAAATTAAAGAAATTGATCAAGATACAAATAAGTGGAAGCATATACCATGTTCATGGATTGGAAGAATTAACATCATTAAAATGTCTATACTGTCCAAAGCAATCTATAGACTCAGGACAATTCCTATTAAAATACCAATGACATATTTCACAGGTCTAGAACAGATATTCCAATAATTAATATGGAACCCCAAAAGACCTGAATAGCCTCAACAATCTTGAGAAAGAAGAACAAAGTTGGAGGTATCAAACTATATTGTGATGCCATTGTAATCAAAACAACCTGTTACTGGCATAAGAACAGGCACATAGATCAGTGGAACAGAACAGAGAGCCCAGAAATCAACCCATGCCTTTATGGTCAATTAATTGACAAAAGAGGCAAGATCATACAATGGGGTAAAGACAGTTTTTTCAATAAATGGTGTTGAGAACATTGGGTAGGAAATGCAAAAAAACGAAACTAGACTACCAGCTTACACCGTACAGAAGAATAAACTCAAAATGTATTAAAGATTTAAATGTAAGTTGTGAAATCATAAAAGTCCTAGAAGAAAACAAACAAATGGGACTACAAACTACAAAGCTTTTGCACAGAAATGAAACCCAACAGAATGAAAAGACAACCCACTGAAAGGGAGGACATATTTGCTGATATATCTGATAAGGAGTTACTTTCCAATTTATTAAGAACTTTTACCACTCAATACCAAAAAATCAAAACAATCCAATAAAATAATGGGCACAGGACCTGAATAGACACTTCTCCAAAGAGGACATACAGATGACCAATAGATACATGAAGAAATGCTCAACATCACAAATCATCAGAGAGATGTAAATTAAAACCACAGTGAGATATCACCTTACTCCTCCCAGAATGGCTTTCATCAATGAATTAACACGTGCTGGTGAGTTTGTGGAGAAAAGGAACCCTTGTGCACTGTTAGTGGGATTGCACACTGGTGCCACCACTTTGGAAAGAGGTATGGAGTTGGCCTCAATCAGTTAAAAATGGAACTGCCTTTGACCCAGTAATCCCACTTGTGGTAATATCCTTAGAATCTCAAAACACTAATTCGAAAGAATATATGCACTCCTATGTTCATGGTGGCGTTATTGACAATAGCCAAGATTTGGAAGCAGCACGAGTGTCCATTAGTAGATGAGTGGATAAACAAGCTACAGTACATTTACATAATGAAATACTCCTCAGCCATTAAAAAAAACCCCAATCTTACCTTTTTTGACAGCATGGATGGATCTGGAGATTATTATGCTAAGTGAAATAAGCCAGAGAAAGACAAATACCATATGATATCATTTATATGTGGAAACTAATGAACAGAATAAACTAATGTACAAAGTAGAAACAGAGACATGGATACATGGAACAAACAGCTGTCAAAGGAGTGGAGGGAGGGGAGACTGAATGAAAGAAGGTAAAGGGATTAGCCAAAAGATATATAAACATAACACATAGACACAGACAAAAATGTGGTGATAGCCAGAGGGAAAGGGGGTCGGGCTAGGTGGAGGTGAGCAAGGGAGAGGAAGTGGGGACATCTGTAATAGTGTCAACAATAAAAATAAGGTTAAAAAATGAAAAACTAGATATCCTTGAAGAAACTGATTTTGAAATCAGACAGCAAATGGCACCTTCAGATCCACAAGATGAGGCCATCACTATAAAATTTAACTTCACGTGTATGTTTATTTTTTAATGGAGCATACAAATGCATTTAATTCACAGTCCTGTACTATCTGTTTCTAAGGTCACAAAATAAATTTTTAAAAATCAGAATAACAGCAGTTGAAAATCATACATCATACTGTTAATATTCTGATGTACTAAATAAAATACCCTCTAGGTAATATGGGAATTTCCACTATTTGTCTGTGCTTAGTAGAACTTTTACAGGGATCCTAAGCATTGAATGGCAGCCACATTACTTAGTAGATTATAAAATTAGAGTCCTTAATATCTGAAAATAGATTATTCTAGTTAATGAATATCAAATTTAATTGACCTTTTAATTTTTTTTCCTGATTTAAACATTTTATATAGTAAAAATAGAGGTAAATCATTCTTTCAGTTAAAATTTTTCAATAAATGTAACACTAATAATACAGTTAGAATATGGTTTTGTATCCTCTATATTTTGACTCACGTTTAATATTTTGTAATTCACCCAAATACATGTGTTTATACCAATGTAAACAAACGAATTTAACCAACCTGCTTAATTTTTACCACCAATTAATACTTGCATTTTTTCAGTATTAATCATTTTAGTTTGACCATATTATTTCTACCAAAATTGTGCATTCTACACTTCCACAGTGCTTCACAATTGTTGACCTTTTAATTTAGTAGTACTAGTAAATAACCCTTGACCACTGTAAAAAAAAAAAACAAAAATCTAAGAAATTCCAAATCATTGTCTGTTAGAACAAAAATAAAAAGGTTTTGGCATTTGGTGACTGCTTTTAGCTTGTCAAGGAGATCCAGAGATTTACCAGGGAAAGAGTACAACACTATACGAATGAAGTATTAGTATTCTCATCAGTGCAAACTTTTCCAGTAGAGATCATTATTAAATGTACCTTGAGCTATGGTTGTTTAAATTTTGAGGCCAGAATTATAACAACCATATTTCAGGGAGTCAGTTGATAATGTAATTAGCACAAAGAGATGATTGTATGGAATGAGTCTAGCGAGGCCTAATGCATTGTAAATCCTCTGGAAACAAAGTTCTTTGAAACCAAGGTGATCTGAGTGTAGAATAAATAAAATATAAACCTTTTTCATCACATGTGGTAGGTGCTAACTAGGTCCTAGCTACACTTCTATGATATTTTTTTTTTTCTTGTGGTAGCATTTCTGATAGTACGGACTAGTTTTGATTACCAGAGCTGTTACCTGGTTATTTTATATCTGAATAAAATGTTCCTGTTTACCTGTGAACGAAAAAAATATGTGGCTTAACTCTGCTAATAAATAAAGTCTATACTGTATGTAATTCAAGGCCAGTAATATGTGTAATCTGAGCAGTTAGTTAAAACCAAATGTAAAGAATCATAACAACTAATATTGTTGACCATTATTTTTCTTTGCTTTTTCTTAGGGTTTTGACCCACCACATCAAAGTGACACAAGAACTATTTATATAGCCAACAGGTTTCCTCTGAATGGCCTTTACACACCTCAGAAATTTATAGATAACCGGATCATTTCATCTAAGGTAAGAATTAACACTATTATTAAAATTATATATATGTATCACTTTGTTTTGTAAAGTGATTTGTGTATTCTAGCGTACATTTATTACCTTAAAAATTCAAGGAAATGGTTGGTAGATTTATCTTAACCAAAATTGTGAGCTGTAAAATAAAAGCATGCCCACTGTTAATAGCATGTAGCCAACATACTAAAAATTATCTTTAGTTGCAATTAAACTAAGAAACTAATATTTATACTTAGTGCCAGACACTGTATTAGGTACTTCTCATATCATTTAACCTTTACAACAACTCTGAGATAGCTTTACAAAGTGTTACACTCATTTTGTACCAGTTTCATCATTTGAATTGCTGGGAAATAATTTACTGAGGGTTGCACACTAGTAAGTGATGAGGCTGGAGTTTGACCTCAGTTCTGTGCAACTTTAAAAAGCCTGATTTCTTCCAATTTTATCCTCTTCTGTAAACATTTTATAGTATCAAATACTGCTTCATTCTTACATATTCTTCCTTGTTTCATTTTTAAAATCTCTTAGTTTATTTTGAAAGTGAAGATTATAGAGTAATACTGTCCAATAAACTTCTCTCATGGTGGAAATGCTTTCCACACTAATATGATAGCCATTAGCCACATAGGGCTATTTATGCCTTGAAATGTGGCTAATGCAGCTGAAGAACTTTATTTATCTTAAATGTCAATAGCCACATGCATGTAGTGATTACCTTATTGGACAGTGCATTTATAGAGGATGTGAATCAAAGAGACTAAGGCTAACGTTCTTCTTAGATCATATGTATTGCTTAATAGACCACCTTAAGAAGCATTTTTGTGTTTCTCCTTTCCCTTCCTCAAGAGTGACTAATAATTTTCACTCTAAACTGATCTGATCTTTCCCAAGGATAATGTCTTAGGACAATATCCTTGGGAAAGATCAGGTTCCTTTGCTCTATTCACATTATTTGCACATGCAACACACCATTAGTGACCTATCTCATCAGTAGTTCTAAAACAGCAGAAAGGGGAAATACAGGAGTAATAGAGGAGCTCTAAATTAATGACACAGTTCTTAGTAAATTATTCAAGAAGTAAAAGTCTTGAAAATTTTAAGGTTTTTTTTTAAAAAAACTTCGGATATAATTTATGTACAATAAATTCACAAATTTAAGTGTATAGTTTGATGAGTTTTTACAAATGGATAAGATCATGTGACCACCACCACCACCATTCAAGATGTAGAATATATTCACCACTCCAAAAATTAGCAGCCATTCTCCTTCTCATTTCTAGCACTAGCAACCACTGATGTACTTTCTGTAGCTATAGTTTTGCCTTTTCTGGAATTTCATATTTACAGTCATACAGTATGAGTCTATTGTGTCCGACTTCTTTTCACTTAACATAATACTCCTGAGACTCATCTTTGTTGTTGTTGTAGTACCACTAGTTGATTCCTTTTTAGTGCATGGTTTAACTATTTTCTGAATGTGGGTCATTTTTCTTTTGTGGTTCTTTCACTACCAGTATTTTCCCCTTACGTTTTCAGCTACTTTCCCAGCCCTGAACTCTAATCTCTGTCATATTTTATTGATAATGGTGTAGTTTTCTCTTGTTTGGCTGCCATACTGTGAGTTTGGGTAGTGTCTCAGACTAAGAAGCCATAGCTGACAATTCATACTCCTTCCATTTGCAATTTAAAAAAACATTGAACTCCTTTCAGTTTCTATTTATATTTTGGATATTTCGCAGAATTTTCAATAATTTTTTAAAAATCTAGTTTTTGTAATTTTTATCTGCTAGGAGTTCATAGGACCACTGAACTCCTGCAACAGTACTGAAAGCTATGTGTCCTGGAAAACTTGGGATTAAGTATCTATTTATGACTGTTTTCATATGTAGTAGTATTAAGTTTAATGTTTTGACCACGGTTTCAAAAAAGTAGATATTGATATAAGTATTGCCCTTTTTTGTAGCACATATGAAAACTCTGTCATTACTGCCTTATTACTTCCTTATTCCACTACTGTTTTCTTAAACTACTTCCAAACCAGATTACCTGCTATTTTATAGTCATATTGAACTTCTCTACCACTGTGCATTCGCTATGATTTCATGTTGATAACCATGATTTTTAAAATATAGACTGCCCTGACCGGTTTGGCTCAGTGGATAGAGCATCGGCTTGTGGACTGAAAGGTCCCAGGTTCGATTCTGGTCAAGGGCATGTACCTTGGTTGTGGGCACATCCCCGGTGGGGGATGTGCAGGAGGCAGCTGATCGATGTTTCTCTCTCATCGATGTTTCTAACTCTCTATCCCTTTCCCTTCCTCTCTGTAAAAAATCAATAAAATATATTAAAAAAAATAAATAAATAAATAAAAAATAAAATAAAATATAGACTTTATGTTTTTGCAGTTTGTAGATTGCATGTTTTTGTAGAAATGTAGAATTAATGTTTTTTACAACAATTTCAAGAATGCATATCCTATCCAATAAAAGAGAAACATGGTAATTGGCGTACGACCGCTACCCTTCCCATTGGCTAATCAGCGAGATATGCAAATTAACTGCCAGGCAAGATGGCGGCCGGCAGCCAGGCAACTTGAAACTAACATGAGGCTTGCTTGCTTCAGTGACGGAGGACTCCAACTTTCCCCGCTTGCTTTGCCGGCCTCTGAGCTTGCAGTGTAAGAAACATTGTAACGAATATAGAAGCTAAACAAAACCCCAGAAACCTGCTTTCAGCGAGCCGGTATCTCAGAGCTGGAGTTATACATTGTTTCGATTATAGAACTGAAACAAACCAGATACCTGCTTTGAGGAGCTGAGGCCTAAGAGCTGGAGCCTCAGAGCTAAAGCTGGCCCAGAATAAAAAAAGAAAAAGAAAAAAAGGAGCGGTTGGGAGCTTCCGTCACCCGCCAGCCTGAAAACAGCCCTCAGCCCCTCACCCAGACTGGCCAGGCACCCCACTGGGGACCCCCACCCTGAAGAGTGTGTGACCAGCTACAAACAGTCATCATCCCCTCACCTAGGCTGGCCAGGCATCCCAGTGGGGACCCCCACCCTGATCCAGGACACCCTTCAGGGCAAACCAGCCAGCCCCACCCATGCACCAGGCCTCTATCCTATATAGTAAAAGGGTAATATGCCTCCCAGCACCGGGATCAGTGGAGCTGAGAGGCCTCCCAGCACCGGGATCAGCGTGACAGGGGGAGCTCCCCAACCCCTGATTGCCCTGCGTCTTTGTGTGTGAAAGGGGGCGGGGCCACAACCTCCCTATCCGCCCTGCTCTGTTCCTGACAGGGGAAGGCACCCCAACCTCCTGATCAGCCCTGCTCTGTGCCTGATACGGGGGAGCTCCCCAACCCCCTGATCGCCCTGCGGCTCTGTGTGTGACGGTGCGGCGCCCCAACCCCCTGATAGGCCCTGCTCTGTGTGTGACAGGGTGCGGCGCCCCAACCCCCCCAACCCGCACGGGCCCTGCTCTGTGTGTGACAGGGTAGAGCCATAACCTCCCCATTAGCCCTGCCCTAAGTGTGAGAGTGGCGGTGCCCCAACCCCTGATCGGCCCTGCTCTGTGGGTGATAGAGGGCGGCGCCCCAACACACCCCCCCCCCCACGGGCCCTGCTCTGTGTGTGATGGGGTAGAGCTATAACCTCCCCATTGGCCCTGCCCTGACTGTGACAGTGGCGACGCCCCAACCCCCTGATTGGCCCTGCTCTGTGGGTGATAGAGTGCGGTGCCCCAGCTCCCTGATCCGCCCTGCTCTGTGTGTCACAGGGGGCAGTGCCCCAACTCCCCTATCGGCCCTACTCTGTGAGTGACAGGGGGGAGCTCCCCAACCCCCTGATGGGCTCTGCTCTGTGCGTGACAGGGGGGAGCTCCCCAACCCCCTGATTGACCCTGCTCTGTGCGTGACAGGGGGTGGCGCCGCAATCTCCCCATCGACCCTGCCTTCAGTGTGACAGGGGGCGGTGCCCCAACCCCCCAATCGGCCCTACCCTGAGCATGACTGAGGGTGGCATCGCAACCTCCTAATCCGCCTTGCTCTGTGCATAACAGGGGGCGGCGCCCCAACTCCCCAGTTGGCTCTGCTCTGAGCCTGACCAGGGGCTGCACCTAGGGATTGGGCCTGCCCTCTGCCACCCGGGAGCAGGCCTAAGCCAGCAGGGCTTTATCTCCTGAGGGGTCCAGACTGCGAGAGGGCGCAGGCCGGGCTGAGGGACCCCGCCTTCCCCCCCCCCCCCCCGAGTGCACAAATTTTTGTGCACCGGGCCTCTAGTATATATATATATATGTATGCATACACACACACACACACACACACACACACACACATATACACACAGTAGGTCCTCAGGTTACGTCAGAGATCTGTTCCCTCAGCGCAGTGTAACGCGATTTTCTCTGTAAGTCGGAATCCACCTACATAAGCACCTACATCACTCACCTGGAGCACATGCACAGCAGTAATGAAGTGAAACAGTGAAAAAAATTTAAAAGAAAGATAACAATTTCTGACCTTTACTTGTGGTAAATAAATAATAAAAAACATAAAGCACATACGTACATATGTCATAATGATGGAACTTTTTTTTTTATAAATAAATGGGAGATGGCAACGTAACCATGAAAGGACGTATGTTGAGTCTGATGTAACCTGAGGACTGCCTGTATATGTATACTAGAGACCCGATGCATGAAACTTGTGTAAGAGTAGGCCTTTCTCTGGGCTGCCAGCACCGGCTTCCCTCTGGCACCTGGGACCCTGGCTTCCCTCTGGCCAATTTTTTTTTTTTTTCTGACCACAAATGAGGCTGGCTTCTATTACTCCTTTTTTACTACCTTTTTAGTGTACTGTTGTTCCCTTAAACTCTTCCAGAGTGCAATATCTTTTATCCCAAAAAGCCATAATGAACTTTCCTCCTCTTTGCCTTTCTTCGTACTGTCCTTCCTTCCCAAAATGTTCTTCCTCTATTTGCCCTCTATTTTCAGCCTGTGAA